GTGTGTGTGTGTGTGTGTGTGTGTGTGTGTGTGTGTGTGTGTGTATCTCCTCGTCGCACGCTTTCATACGTTCATAAGGCTGTTCGTCGACTCCGCGGTCCCGAAAGAGACGATCGAAAACGAAGAACTAAAGAGACGGAGAGGAGAGGAGAGGAGAGACACGAGCGAGAGCACACGCGATGGGATACACAGTCGTGGCCATCGTTCGTACTTTCACGGTGCCGGCACAATACGCCGGACCATCGAGGAGGAATTGTCATACAAATTGTCGCTTATTCAACGACGATCCTCGAGGCGAGGATATGTACGGCCTACGAGGCCATAGTAGCTGGAAAACAACGTCGTGCCGCCTTTTCGCTCGGTGCTTGTACATATCGAGGCGTTTGATGCAACGGAGCCTGACGAATTTGATTAAACCCTGCGAATGATACTGTTGAACACTGTAGATAACTATAGTAATTTACGCTCGATGAACGTGTGTTTTGCAGTTTATCGCGTTTACCACGAAATCAAGAAATTATACTTGTCGTGGGATACAACAATAGGGTGGGCCAAAAATCACCTCCTACTGAAAAATCATGTTTGAAATTTAATTTTTAAAAAATTAGTTTTCTCTTGTATTTCGATGTTTTATTAAAAGCAAAAGCAGGTGGCAAGAAACTTTTGGCCCTGTATTATTTTGTAAAATAACATTAATAACATTACATGTAAAGTGATAAGATTTCAATTTAAATAATATCGTCATGAAAATATTACTTGATATGTTAATAATAAATGATATTTCATACAACATAATCATTGGTTGTTCTTTCATCTTTCAATCAACTTCCCATTTTTAGAAAGTTTCCGGATTCATTGTCAACTCGGTACGCTATCGTTGCGATCTTCCTTCGGTTGAACGATTTTTTTCTTTTTTTTTTTTTTTTCAAAGATTGAAACAGATGACAATTATTCTTCACAAAGTTTTGCTTTTGTAAAGTCAACGACTGTCGTTTTTCACACTAGCTTTGACGTAACGAATTATATTTTTTAACAACATCTGTAACTCGAACAGAGGTGTTCAGAAGCCCACGATGATCAATTTCATAAATTGAAACGCAGAGGG